AACTCGGATTCTCTTTCCATAATCTCTTTCTTTACAAATAGTTGCACGACAATTTTACCACAATATAATAGCTAGAATGATGTTATTCGACAATATAAAAGGGTGCAACAAGTTATCAGAAAGAAGAGAAAGTAGTTTAGCGGCAAGAATTGTCTGTGAGTCTGAGCATTAGAAGAGGAATAATCTTATTCATTAGCTCTGCCAATTTTAACTTTCTGGCGTCCTATTATGATCTCTTTGACTGGAAAATAAAAAATGCAAATGCTGTGAAACAAACTTTAGCAAAGAGGGTACATACACTTCATCACAAAGCAACTTCATTCAATGTGTCTCAAAAATTTCACTTTTGAACATTAACCACAAAATCTAGCTGAAACAGCCGTCTATGTTGCAAAACAACAAGTTCATCTTCTTCAGTTTTAGGCCGAGCATGTTGCACCCCTGCAGGAACTAAAGGGATACCTAAAGACATGAGTACGCAATTAGGAGACCAACTATCATTCTTTAGCTCGAAAAAGAGCTTATGCTAAGTTTAAATCACAAAATAGGAAGGGACCACCAGCATGTAAAGAGGACCACTTAGATAAAAATATCTTCCTTCCAAAATATCTATTGTCTAGGATGTTACGTGATTCTAGCACTAGTAATCCTTTGATGGTATACGGAAGGAGAGGCAAGAGGAAGAGTCACCATATGGAAGCACCTATTGTTGGCGAGCAGAACAATGAAATGAATGATGAAGAAACAAGAAATAATTGTAAGAGAGTACCAGTTCCTGAGGAACTTGTATATGCTGGTTATGGCTCTACTTTTTCTAGGAGAAAATTCATGAGATCGTCCATTTGGATGATGTTAACCTTGAATCCCTTTTTGTGGAAATGACTGAGGACCTGAAAAATCTACAAGATTATATAGATCATAATATTCTTTTATAAAAGACGAAGTATCAAGATATATTTCAATGCGTTATTAAGTTCACTTGAAAGATACCTAAAACTAATGGACCTGTCAGGATTAGCTTCCGGCATCTTATAGGAATCCGACATCCGTTTTGTCTTTTTCAATTAGAGTTGTCTACCATAGACATACTAATCAACATACTTAAGCAAAGCAGCCATCCTTGTAAGCTAGTATCTTCGGAGTGCTTTATCCAAGTTCGCCCATTTATAATCTCCATCAGGATTGCAGAAACAATGTATAAAGTTGCATTACGTTCCACAAGATCATGACTGTCACCACATGTGTGTAATTCATGTTAAAAGATAGGAAGTACAGGAGATCTTAATATAAGAATCACGTAAACATAAAGATGTTCATTAAATAACTTATTCCCTAAAAGTACTGCTGAAAAAATAGAGAGTAACAAAGTCATCGACAAAGAACTCAAGCGAGAGTAGTGAGATTCAAGTTGTACCTTAAGCTTAGATTTCATGAATTCCCCACAGATGGAAACTTTCAATTTGGTTACACTAACAAACTTGCATGCGACTATTTAATTTCCATAAAGACTATGTAGGTATAATGAATTAAATCTCATACATGAAAATCCGCATTCGGGCATTTAGTACTGGAAAAACCACTCTTTTCAAGATATAAATAAATAACTGTCAAAGTTGCTAAACATAAAGTAGGAAACATAGTTATAGTGAAGCTTTTTTAGTAGAAGCAAATTAGTATTTAGGCAAGTAACTAAGCTCCAAAATATCCCTTTATGTAAGTTATGCAAATAAGTATATACTCTCCTAGATAATTGTAATACAATTTTAGAGGTATAATTTAAGATTCAAAAAGTAACACTAAAACCACTTCCATCAACTTCAAACAATTGTAAGCTGCACGCTGAGAACAATAATCTGAAAAACACAAATTAATTTATGCATTCAAAGAAGCACATGATATGTTTTATTTTCTACTCTATTATGTAGATATATTCAAAATATGGAACTAAACTGGAATAGTTTGTTTGACCATTTGTCTCCACTGACCAAATGTGCATTTTCTTTGCATTATGATCATTGTCAAATACATAGACTATGAATTAAGTGAAAATGATAGTATATATGAAGTATCAAATATAGAAACTGAATTAGAAAATGAAGAAATAAATATTGATCTAGATAATGATGAAGAAATCTAATGTCTGAGAATGACATAAAAATAATATGCAAAGAAGACTATCAAAATGAAGAATTATCAGAACAAAAAATTATATTTGATAATAAGTCTTCGAACAAATAATAGGAAAAGAATTAGATTTAAGTGTTGAAACAGTACTTGAAATACCTACCTTAAGAAATTGATTCAAAAGACAAAAAGACGAACACTATGTAGTTATCCAAAAAGAACAAATCATAGATTGTAAATATACAAAAGAAAAGGCACAAATACCCATACTAAATAAGAGGATAATAAATAAAGAAATACAAGATATAAAAGCTAAAACACCCATAAAATACGGACATTTAGGTGGAACAGAAATATTGATAAAAACTTGTTTTAGAGAAGGAATAGATACACCTATTGAAATATATTTAGCAGATGACATAATTATATACCCTATAGGAAAAGGCGTAATTAGTGCAGTAAAAGAAAACTTAATATACCAAAAATTTAAATTTATAATCAGTGCCAACTACTCAATAGCATTAACAGATAGAAATATAGACAACAATGATTATAGCTATAATAGACAACAATGATTATAGCTATAAAGAAATTGACATAGAAGAAGATTTAGAAATTGTAAAAGAAAGATTGAGTACTTCAAATGTACCAAATACATTAACTAGAATTACCTCATCAAGAATGAGCACATCTAAAAGGAACTATGAAATCCCACAAAATTTATTAAATACAGAAGAAATAACACCATACACTATTTTATAACAAGAATAATAGATCAAATAAGATATAAAATTTTAATAAACAAAGGACAAGAAGAAAATTATATAACAAGAGAATTAGTATTAGAAACAGAAATTATAAAAACAGGACAATTATGCCCTGGATTACCTAGTGAGATAGTAACCACAAACGAAGAAATAACAGAGAAAGAAATAATTATAGGAGGAATACTATTAGTAATACCATTTAAAATCTACCAAGGAAGCCAGAATATTACCCTATGAATAAAATGGTTAGAAAAAGTTAAATCATATAACATAGAGAATGAACAATTAACAATAAATTACCAAAATAAGAAAATAATTATCAAAAGAACAAAATGAATAATGAAAATATATATACTTGCAAAAATTATTGTAGAAGGATACCACAACAAATATTATACCCCCATGATAGATACAGGAGCAGAAGCAAATATATGTAAATATAATTATTTGCCGAAAGATAAATGGAAAAAATTAAAAACACCTATGGTAGTAACAAGATTTAATAATGAAGGTAGTATGATTACATATAAAGCAAAAAATATAAAAATACAAATATGGGATAAATACTAACAATAGAAGAAATGTACAATTTTGAATTTACAACAAAAGATATGTTATTAGGAATGCCATTTTTAGAAAAATTTTACTCACATATTATAACAAAAACACATTGGTGGTTTACTACACCATGCAGAAATAAAATAAGAGCAAAAAGAGTAAATAACAAGCAACGTGAACCCACAGAATGGATAAAAGGAAGTGAAAAAATAAACCAAGAAATGAAAAATATAAGTAAAAATCAAATAACACAATTAGAAATTATTATATTTACAATAGATAAAGTTAAAAAAATTAACGAGCAACTAGAATTATTATATAGTGAAAATCCATTACAAGGATGGGAAAAACATAAGACGAAAGTAAAAATTGAATTAGTAGATGAAAATAGTATAATAACACAAAAACCATTAAAATATAATATTAATGATTTAGAAGAATTCAAAATGTATATAGATGAACTATTGAAGAATAATTATATGCAGGAAAGCAATAGTAAACATACAAGTCCAGCATTTATAGTTAATAAACATAGAGAACAAAAACAACGTAAAAGTAGAATGGTCATATATTATCGCAACTTAAATGATAAAACTAAAACATATAATTACCCAATACCAAATAAGATACTAAAAAAAAGACAGATACAAGGATATAACTATTTCAGTAAATTCGATTGTAAATCAGTATTTTATCACTTGAAACTAGAAGAAGAATCTAAACAGCTAACAACATTTACTGTACCACAAGGATTTTATGAATGAAATGTTCTACCATTTGGATATAAAAATGCACTAGGAAGATACCAATATTTTATGGACAAATAGTTTAATCAATTAGAAAATTTTATTGTCTATATAGATGATATATTATTATACTAAAAAACACAAGATGAAAATATCAGATTATTAGAAAAATTTATACACATAATTAGATATTTTGGTATAAGCCTAAGTAAAAAGAAAGCAGAAATTATGAAACCTCAGATAGAATTTCTAGGAATACAAATAGATAAAAATGGGATAAAGATGCAAACCCACATAGTACAGAAAATAATTACCCTTGATTTTAGGATTAGTAAACCAAGTAAGAGAATACATACCAAAACAGTAGAACATTTCAAACCATTACACAAAAAAATTTAGAAAGATGTCGAGTATTATTTTGACAATAAAGATAAAGAACATATAAGACATATTAAAAACTTATGTAAAAAACTACCAAAACTATATTTTCCCAATGAAAACAAATTATTTACTTATATTGTTGAAACAGATTCGAGTAATCACAGTTATGGAAGAGTTTTAAAATATAAATATGACAAAGAAAAAATAGAACACCATTACAAATATCACTTAGGATCCTATACAGAAGCACAATTAAAATGGGAAATAAATAGAAAAGAACTATTTGGATTATATAAATGTTTATTAGCTTTTGAGCCATATATTGTTTATAACAAATTTGTTGTAAGAACAGATAATATGCAAGTAAAATGGTGGATAACATGAAAAATACCAGACTCAGTGACAACAAAGGAAATAAGAAGGCTTGTATTAAATATACAAAATTTTACATTTACAATTGAGGTAATAAAAACTTACGAAAATGTTATTGCAGACTACCTATCAAGACAAAGGAACCCAAACTGAGCCAGAAAAAGATACAATGGAAGAAATACTCAAAGGCATTACTACACTTTCTTCAAAAGTGGACAATATGGATAAAGAGTTACAAAAGATGAAAAATATAAGTCAGCAGCTTGACTATAAAAATGCAGAGCTATGTCGATCATAAGACGGAAATATTCCAGAGCTACAAGGAGACGTTTGGAAACTCCATAAAATCCATGACAATGTTTGTTTAAATGCAGCTACAGCCAGCACATCTACAACAAAAGGAGTCAGTGGAATAAGATATACGAATTCAAATATGAAAATTTTTTTCGATAAACCATTTATTCTGAAAAACCAAAAAGACCCATTATTCATACCACCGCAAACAACTACTTACTCGGAAAGTTTAAACCAAGATAAAAAAGCCTACAACCACATAACCTGCTCATATATTGAGAACCTTTATAAAATCCAAAATTATTTAAACTCAACACCAAGATCTCCAACTTCCAAAGACCCTCATACTGATTTTATAACCCAAAATCTACAAGGATATAATAAGTTAATAGCACAACCAGGCACCAATGCAAATCTAGTAAAAACGTCTTATTGTTATGGATTACTCAACACATTTTATACCCAAACAGGAGATGAAATATCGACCATACCGGAGCTATACAAAGCCTTTATGAACTATAAAAGAATTACTAAAGGAACATTATTTTATATAAAGTTTTATTTAGCACCAGCAGAGATATTATTTGATGAGATAAAGCCAATTATACAAGTTATAAAGATTGGTTTGACCAGAGATATGATAATTCCGGAAGATATCGGGACATATCAAGAAATACAAAGAATTGAGATACAAGAATTATACGCCAACAAAAGAGTTATTGGAATCACAACTATTCTAAATCAACTAACCAATAATTATTTAAACGGAATTCTGTAGGAGCTATTATGTACAGGAGCAAGTCATGATATATTCAAATTCTAGGGAAATTAGAGAACAAGATATGGAGGAGATAGGCCAATGGATACTCAGTTTACTCAAGCCGGAGCAAAAACCAACAACAAGAGCATTAAGGAAAGAGTTTATTTCGGAAGAATTATTAACCAGATATTGTAAAATTATTCGACAAAAATACCCCGACCATATATGTTTAAAATGCTAGGGAGAAGATAATGTCATACCAGATGTCCAAATCGAATGAACATACGTGGAAAGCAGAAAAAGACGAACATAGAGACGTGGACAGCTGCAACAAAGAAGATAAGGAGAAGAAAAGAAAGAAAGAAAAAAAATCGTAAAATGAATAGTAAGAGTCATTCATGAACAGAAAAGGTCGTTCATGAAAGGTCATATGTGAATAGTAGGAGTCATGTGTAAATAGTAAGAGTCATCATGTAAAAATTTTTTGTTTTCTAGTGTCGGCCGAAATAAAAAAGGCCATGTGTAAAGTAGTGTCGGCCACTTGGCCAAAGCAGTAAGGTTTTTTTTTTTTGCATAAAAGGAGGGCTATCCCTCATAATAAAATAAGCCTTTTCCAATCAACTCTCTCTTCTTTTGAATTCTGCTTCCACCCCCAAAAGTTCATCCGAATCCCTAAAATTGCAAGATTCTCTTTGCTTGTTTTAGAATTGATTTCCATACTAGAATTGGGCTGGTCAATCCCTTCGGATTATCTTTTGTAACCAAAATATTGTAGTAAACTTCTGACTTCTTTCATATCTTCCTCAATTTTATTTCACGTGACACAATGTCTATTGAACAAACATCCATTAACCTTCAATTTAACCCCATAAATAAACAACTACAACTAAAGTAAATACATTGTACACAACCCACATAAGTCAAACTTTATAAAAAGAAGAAGATGTGGAATTACATTTGGCGCCAATTATGTGTACCTGGATTTGTTTCTCCTTTTATTCCTCAGCTTCTAATCTCATTCATTCTTCTTCTTTTACCGCTTGAGCTTCCTTTCGAGTCACTGCTTTTAGAAAGAGTCTCTCAGTTTCCTATAGTACAAATTTTTGGATAAATATTTCAATATTAGCTTGCTCGTCATACATAGTCATGGAAAATCTAAAGGAAAACAAAATGAAGAAGAAATCTTTTAAAACTCAGTTACCCTACCACTCGACAATACCTTGCAACCATAAATTGATAACAAGATTAAACTATATGTTATATAATGAAATCAGAATTCCGAAAAAACATGAAGATTATTTAGATCTATAATTGCAACTAACACTTAAAAACTCATAAAATTGAAATGTTATCATCTGAACGAGAAGAAGGTTAGCATATATGAGTCGAGTGACCGAATCTATCTCAGTCACCACAACCCATATCTGCTTCAATAGACTCCCCAAATCCTCAAAATGATGTTGGAAATCTTCGATCCATTTCTACATTTTCCCAAAAAAAGGTGTAGAAGAAGTAGAATCTCACCATCCTTCATCAAAAAGAGAGAAATGCACAGTGACCAATTCATTGTCCCACTCATATATTAAGCTCATAAAAGCCTAATTACCAAACATTCTATCTTAATAAAACCACATTAATTCCATAAATAAAGGAAAATTGACAACTATTCTACAATTTCCAAGCACATTAGATAACCTATTTCTAGTTCCCAGTTCAAATTTTAAATTCATTTCATAAAAACACCCTAACAAACTTCAAATAAAATAAAAAATCAAAAACCCCATGAATCAAAAATTAGATAAGATCTGAAAAGGGTTTGCAACAATGATACCTTTGCATATAGGGAATCGTTTAGAGAAGCCGATGAGAAAATTATGAACAAAATATTCAAAGAAACGCTTTTACGAGACACTGATTTGGGAAGACGAGAAATCCAACGAGAAGCCTTGTGATTTCGACAGCTTCTTAGTGTGGCAAAGAGACGCTCTTATAAAACTCTAGAGATGCTATGTATGACGAGGAAGAATAACAACGATACCTGCATATTAGTTTTTTTCATTTGGGGAAAACAACATGTTTTATGAGTGTTGTTTTTGTTGGTCCATCAGAAATTTTAGAAAGATAAATATTTAGGAGGGAATATAATAATTTAGTGAAAAAATTGGAATTTTTTTAGGAAACAAATAAGATGACACCTATAAAGTGTTGTTTTTAGAACTATTAAAATACCATGCTTAAAAGTGTAGTCATATTTGTAAATAAGTGTTGTCAATTATATCATAATTTGACAACATGCATAAAGTGTAGCCTTTACTATTAAAGAATACATTTTATAAGTGTTGCCAATATTATTTTTGCCAAAAGCTAAAAACTAAAGCTACACTTCAAAAATGTACCCAAAAATATTTTTGGCAATACTTTATAAGTGTTGTCTAGATTTAGTGTGGCCTTAGGACAATAAGACACAACTTTCTCATTCAAACTTCAATTGTGCAATCAGAGATTAAAGTTGTGACTCACCATTATCAAGGATTCTCAAGTTCACAATGCTTGCTTCAAATGAAAGTTTAAGCTCAACAAAGGTACTCAAATACCCTCACAACAAAGATGATTCCCTATTCACACACAATTATTCAATAATTTATAGCTCCTAGATCACATACAACTCTAACACTCACAAATATGCACACATATATGACTTCACCATAGGCTTTCTTTTATTTTCCAATCAACATTTGTTTCAGCTCACTCATGATAAAAAAAGGTCTTTTCAATGCTTGTAATGGGGATGAGTGTAAATATATGGCATTAAGTCTCAATGGCTACTATCCTTATGAAATGTGGAATGAACATCACTTCCCTTCCTTTTCTTCGAGATTTTCACTCATGCTCAAAATTGAACACATTATTCACTTCCAATGGAAACCGAACACCCCATTTCTTTTGCAACTTTATTTAACAACTTTTTCGTTTTTTTCATTTTGTTTTCTTTCTCTCTTTTTTTTTGTATGGAGGGGTTCCATGTAATTTTTTTTCCAAAACAATGGTTCAAAGCGGATTTCTTCACATTTCTTGATTTACGTTCTATTTTCACCACACCCCAACTTATGCTTTTGGCCTAAGTCGACTATTCAAACAAACCACAAGTTCATGAGGATTATGGGTGAATGGATAAAGAGGGGGTATCAATTACTCAAGTTAAAGGGGTTCAAGCAAAGTTCATAATCTCACAAGGTTGTCCACAAAAGAGGTATATTGTTAATCTATTTCACTCTTCAAAATCGTTGCCTAAGATAATTTCAAGAGACTGAATCATGTAGTCAATCGACCAAGGGGGAAAATTCTAACTGTCACCACAATAGGTTCACAGTAAGCTCATCACATTAGGCATTGTAATCAGTACAATGAGGCTCCACACTTTCGCTAGTGTGCAGTGTTCATCAAAAGGGGCTCATTTAATAATCGGCTAGTCACAATGAGATGCAAAAAGTTCGCATATTGTCTATGCAACTTCATTTGGCCTCATCGTAGTCGTGCATTCATTTTTATTCGTTTAAGGGTACTATATAAGTCATCGGTATTAATCATAACCGATACTCAGACTTGCATAAGAACACCCACATTAACCCCAGACACATGGCAAAAAATATATAAAAGGGTCAAAAACCATTTATATTCATCATAAGGAGCCACAAGCTCAAACATCCACAAAACAATATCACCACACAATTAAAAGCACAAAAACCCAATAGTATATACAAAATATAGTCACAAGAGGTAGGTATGGAAATACCATACCCCACCACATATAAAAGATATTTTCCTCAAATGCAACAAAAATAAAAGAGTCAATAGAAACAACAGAGAGGGAGGCAAAAAAAAGTCCTATCTACATAATTGATCTATTTGTCGGGGCATCAATTCCTTGGATAACATAAGAAGCATTGGATCCACTAGGGCCTACCATGGACATCTCTCTCAGCGATGTCTGAATGAAAGAATTTAAGATTTTCTTTTCTAAATCTTGTAGGTCTCCATATATGGTCTCCTCTTGCACTATAATTCCTCTTCATCTATCTCTACCTTTGACTCATTAGCTACCACATCATCTATAGGAACATATTCAGTGGTGGCCAGAGGCATCTCAAAAGAGCTGAGGTATTAACATCACCAAGTTCCTCAAAGAGTGAAGTGAAGTCCGTGGACTTAAATTAGACTACATCCTTTCTCAAATTTGCAACCTCGGCTTTCAAATTGTCACCTTTGAAGTAGCCCCCTATCGACTCTCACAAGTCTCTACACTCGCTGTGAGAGTGTCAATAGATGTACGGAGAGGTGTCAACCTAGCTAGGATATACCTCTAAATCATTCAAGGTACCTCAACCTCCAAATAGGTGGGCCACACATCGACAAAATAGGAAAAGTGCTCCATCTTAAGGATCATTACAGAGTAATCCTGGTAGGCTACGAAGCAGTAGATGAACCAGGAACCATGGAAGAAGTGGAAGCGGGAGTACGTGAAGGCCCGAAGACTAAAGTAGGCAAAGATTCCTCTGCAAGTATCGACTAAACATCAACCTAGAGGAATGCATCCACCAAAGCTTTTTTTATGATGTCTGCCTTATCTTGAGTTTACTTGAACTCTATGCGCCATATGTTTATGGAGTATGTGGGGGTGACCTCCATGTCCCTCTTATCTTCATGAGGAAGTCCATCACACTAATGTAACTATTTAATTAGGATTGAGAAGGGAAGGGACGTCTGGTGCTTCTTGGTCATATTGCTACATAATAAATTTCTAGTTGAGCATCAATCTGGCTATGAGAGATTTGATACGGCCGCCTTTGGGTGGAGAAAGATGGGATCATTTTGGAATGGGAATGATACAATTGCTGATGAATCCAAACTAATACCGAGCGAAAATATCCATGCCCTTCATTTTGATGGGAGCTCCTTCATCAATCCACCTCGGGGTACTGCCACAAATGAGGGGTGCAAGCCATCCCTTTAAGTAATTTATGGGCTACGTTGTATCCAAGACCTCATGCGCGTCCTACCAACTGATAGCCCTATCAAGTACAATATTTATCTCATTGATAATGCACCCAACTTCTTTCCCCTGAACCATGACTGTCGTCACCTGTCTGAAGGCACTGTCCTTTTTTCCTCTTTGGTACCAAGTCATTGTATACTGAGGAAAACTCTCAAACCCATATAGGAATGTATGGGCCTCGAGGCATGGTAGATTTATTGAATCTAAGGAGCAGGAGAGTGTTCAACACATCAGGATACCTGCCCATAGGCTCTATGTCGATAGCATCTTTTCTTGAAGAATCATCCTCAAACCCTCGTCCTTTATCCTATTGAGTAGACGAGGAGGGGAACCTTGAAATAGTGGTGTTGGAACCACAGTTTGTGCCAGAGATGGCTTTGTATCAGCACTAGGAGGTGTGTCCTCTGGGATCCTAGATGGATCTTGGCAAACTGTGAAACAAATCTCATCTTATAGTGATTGAAAAGGTTTGTTATGCTAAGGCTCAAGGAATGCACCACGTGAATCAAAGGAATCCCCCTCGCTGAAGAAGTTGTGCTCTAGTATCTCAGATGCGAGTGCCTTGCCCTTGCCTTTACCTCTCTTGGGAGGTACCTTTTCCACTTTTTAGAAAAGGTAGCTTCACTTTATTAGTAATAATGCCCCGTGCTCTTTTTGCAGGGGAACATATCCAGGTTGTTTCTATCCATATCAATAAAAATATTGTAGAATGTTAGAAATAGTTCAAGAGAAATTGCAGTAATTACGTTGCAGATAGACTTGCCAAACTGATCGACGAGTCACCAAATCATTTTGCGAGTAAGATCAATCTTAGTGAAAGCATTGGCGCAAAAAAGTTTCTAGAATAAAGGTATTTTGACAATGAGAAGGTTTTTTTTGATGAATTGTCGACAATATTCAGCAAGCTCAGCCTGGCCCACCGAAAATGACAACATGTTTTAGGGGTTGGGGGTGCATAAATGGCAATCAAAGGAGACTTTTAGAGAGTCGTTGAGTGAACTCGGCGAGCTCAAGCTTCTTGCCAAAATGTACATAATCAAAATCAACCAAAACATGAAATTAAAAGGAAAACTTTAAGGATTTCGACAAACCACCGAGTGCTTCGCGAGTTGGCCAAACTACTCAACATGCCTATTTTCAACCCCAACTGCAAAACAAAACCGGAAACTCTCGAAAAAGAATAAAAATACAAACAAACTTAATTATGCTCATACCCATGCCATCTCAAAATTCCCCCAATTAGTCCGAAATTTCCCATTTGGTGACTTTATCCCTTAAGAATGGCGTCAAATACCCCATCATCGAATAAAACACGCCATTTAGCACAGTCAAAGTTAGTCAAACTTCACCTAAATAGACTCAACAACAATTCAACACGAACCACAAGTTTAAAATCAATATTAAAGCAAGAAATTTAGAAAATCAACAATTTTGGAAATCAAGGAACAATATCAAAATTAAAATCCCGCAAATTAAATAACTGAACACGATTTCAATAAGGTGAAACACACATCAATAAGAATTAAACAATTGAAAATAAGGTCAACCACTATTTATGAGTTTGGGTTAGTTGACTTCACCAAACGTATCGGCGGCACGCTGAGTGATTACTTACCTTATCAATTTTTACTTGACCTCAATTTAATTTGGGGGTCCAAACGACATCTCAATTTAAGTTGGTTGACCTGTTTGGAGAGTCACTGACTCGTTATGGGCCTTCCGAGTTGTACAAACTCCATTTTTGTTATTCCTTGAGTCCAAATAGTGTCCCAAGTTGGGCTCAAAGACTAGATTATCAGATCACCAACCTACATATTTCAAACGCATTCCACTTTTCATCTTCAAAATAAACAAACATTGTACCAAAATTCAAATAAAACAATAAAACTAGTGTTGCCATCCAACAAACGCCTTAGTTAATGTCTTCGAACGACACGTACCCACTCAAACTTATTTTTTGATCTTTCATAGTATCACTAGGTAACCCCCCTTGTTGTCTAGGGTTAAGATTTGAAGAAATCTGACCCCTTTGGGTCTCAAACAATTGGATAGATATGGAATATGG